ATCCCCTCAAAATAGTCACAACTTGTTTGCGGCCAGGCGTTAGTTAGACCACCGAGAGCGATCCCACAGGGAACGAGCCCGGGAAAATAGGTTTCACGCAGGGAGGTCGGTTCTCTGGCTTACGCGAAAGGTTTCCATCGTCCAGCCTCTCGTTCCTCGTCAACCTTTTACGCACAGCCAACTCTGAATTTATGTTCGTCCGTGGTAATGTGCCGCTGGCGAGGATTAACGAATTCTACGAGGAAATTCGATCGTTCGACGATTACCGTTCAAGAAAATAGATTCGATGAAAGATTGGCTTGAAAGAAATCGCGTTTCGTAGATTTAGAACGAAGTTGGATGAAACGCAGTGAGAACGATTCTCTATGTGAGTATAATTTAGAAATCCGAAACCACTCGCTTTTTTACGCTTTTTTACCATATTCGATAAATGCAACTTTGTTTCTAACTTCTTGCTGTTCCATTTGCGTGCAATCTCATCGAAATACTCGGATGCGACAACATCGTTTCTTATTCAACGTGACTAGCAAACATCGATGTTCGAGCTATTCGGATTCTGCTCTCAACCTCGACTCGCTTTTTTCGACGATTCGTCTGAAAATTTTCTTTACAAAATTATCGCCAATTTACCAATGTTGATGTGGACGTTTAATCTCTCTCTCTCTCTCTCTGTGAGTCCTTTCAATCCATGAAAATTTACGTGTTTTCCTGACGATAGAAGGAGAAAAAGAGGAACCTCGACGATCGTGTAATTTCACGGCAGAGATGTCGCAGAAAAAAGTTTGGTCGTTGGAAAGATGATCGTCGAGCAAGAAACGACTACCATTGTGTCTAGACGATAAGAAATTCTTCCGGTGGAGATTGCCTCTCTCTTTCGTCGTGATCGTCTGTTATTACGCCAATTATTACATCGTATCCAAGGAGATGAGCCCAGTCGATGCGTTCCATCGTCTCTTCAAATAGACGGTGTAAATATTTGCACCGGTTTTTCGTTTTCTTACCGGAGAGATCTCTCCCTTTCTCGTCCCTCCGTTTATATATAACTCTGCACGTTACAGCCTCATCTTCGTGTTTCGTGTAAGTGTACTTACACACGTGCCAAACCGGAGGAATGCACGAAGCATTGTTCTTGGCCGGGACACGACGCGTGTCTCGATCGAGAGGAACCACGAGACGGAGTCTTGAAAATCGTGTAAAAGGAACAGTTGAATAATCGTCGGTCGAGATTTTGGACTTGTCACAGCGTTTCTCTGAATAAATGGGTATAAATTCTCGGAATAAATGGACGAAGTTATTAACGTAAATTATTAACGAATAAACACAGTGTTTTCGCTTAAAAATAACAAATAGCACTGCCAGATAAAAACGCAAACTCAACAAGCAAATTAAGAGCCGATGAGAATTATGATTCGTGATAGCGACGTTCGTCGCGTTCTGCTACTTTGCCGGATTCATTAGCATTCTAAATATTATCACGATGATCGTACAAAGTGGTCCGCTTTTCTACTCGTGTAATCCGCCGCGCAGCGCAATTAAAATCAGTCGCGCGAAACGCGCTACATATATCGGCTGCTTTTCAGTTATTCGGGCATTTTTGATCGTGTCCACGCTGTTTCTCCATTGGCACAATTTTTTTTTTTTTATTTATTCTGCTCAATCGCGCATATCGTGATCGATTCGCAATTTTTATTCGCCGATAAATAAAATGTCTGGCAATTTTCTACTAATTTCCTGTAGATCGAACAACTCGTTCAACCTTGAAATTCCGATTTAAAACTCGAATTCCTCGACAGGGTTAGCCGACGCAGTTACAAGACGACGAAGATCGTAAAACTTCAACTCGCTGAATCGAACTGAGGGGCTGAAAGCAGAGATTTCCGTTTTATTAGGTTGAAATTCGTGTTCCATTGCATCGAGACAAGCGCGCTGCTTACGTCGACCCATTGCTGCGTTAATCCCAGATCGGCAACTGCTCCTTTCCACGCGCTCGCTTTGTGTCCAACATTATGCACGTAAATATGATTATGTAGCTCCCCGTCATACGATCGATAAGGGCTCGCAGTGAAACGTGACAGTCGATTGGAGGAAGTCACCTTGCCACAGTAGCGAATCGAAGGAATGGAGAAGCGAATACCTTTGTTCGAGTGTACATCGACGTAAATGGTTTTATTCTCAAAATATCACGAATTTATAGCTATGTCTCTCGACGACAAATAGGTCCTTTCCGATGCGCTCTTTTCAAGCATACCAGATGTACGTGCAATATGAATGCCTCTAAATTGAAAGAAAATTTAATAACAACTCAAAGAGGGTTGATATTTGATCCATATGTGCACCAGCAGCGTGCACTAAGCGATATGTGAATTGCTTGAACAATTTTCTTGTTCGTATTTCGTTCCCATCTGCTGTGTATGTGTACAAAGTAATCCAAACATACGATAAATCGAAAGTTTCGGTATCAAGAAAATTTCAGCTTTGTCCAGCCACATAATTGAAACTAGTCGGTTCTTTTCGTTTCGTTGAATGGCTCACGTGTAATCGACCAGAGGCTTCGAAAACTTATCCGGATTTACGTAATGTTTCGTGTAATGTTCCGCTGATTCTGTAGCATCGGCGGAAATTCAATCGCCGTTGGAATTGATTTCACCACGATCTCTCCCCTACCGTTCAACTCAACTCCATAGAACCCTCGATGGCCGAAACATTCGATTCGAGAGCTTTTTGGTCCATTAACCGACGATTTTTCATCGACGCCGACGATGCAAACGAAGAAACGTTCCGTCGTCGGTCGACGATAATCGATATGATGGATGCAATTTAACCATACGCATTCTCCTGGATGCACGTCGAGACGTATTTTCCCTTTCGTTTGCTCGGAAAACGTGGAGGATGGAGAAGGGATAGAGTACCGATGCGAGTTTATTAAAATTTTTCGTGGAAGGTATTGGTGTCTTGTCGAGTTTATGGTTGGAACAGTGGAGCTGAAAACAACCGAGACAGTCGCGAAATTCCACGATTTTTATTTTTGTGGCTGCATTGCCGTTTCAGATGACCCGATTCCTCGAATAAGTCGAAAGTAATTCTCGCGGAAGAAAAGTCGGAAAATTTATAACATTTCGTGTACATATGGAAGATTCTGAGAAATACGAAACGTGTTATTTACAATAATTCATATTTATCTGGATTTCCGTGGTAGATTGAATCACGCCAACATGCAATCTCGTATTTCACACTTGATCGGTTATAATTTGCATCACCTAAATATCAAAAGGTTTTGTTACGTTCTTCGAAATAGTTTCTATATCTTTGAATTACACCCCAGTTCCAAACAATCCAGATCACCGATTGTTTCAACTCGGATTTCTTTTATGCAGACTTCGTCCCTAATTAAGGACCAGTAACATTCGCGGCATGAGAACGTCGACGATCGTTGTAAGCGAAGCAATCTGGAAAATTGAAACAAAACGCGCCACTGCGACAATGGTTACATTTTCTCGATATTCTCGGCAAATCCCAACAATCCTCACGTGTTTCTCCTGCGTGTCGTGTTTCTCCTTCTCTTGAAACGGGCATGATTTTGCATTTGGAGAGATAATAGGATTATTCTGTAAACAACGATCGTAACTAAAAGTTATTTAGATGCAACATACTAAATGTGCATGTTTGACGAAGAACCGTGTAATCCATTGTTCGAGCGAAGCTCGCTAATAGGATTCGGTCTCCTCTCGCAGCGGGTTCTATATACTTACGATAAATTAATTCGATGGACTTTATTGAGTCGAGATCGATGATTGCTTGAACTATAGATGATAATTATAGATCTGGTCTGGAAGGGCTCGTAGCTGCGAAAACCATAGACGCCAGCCTGACTGTCCTGTGGAAATCATGATTTTTATGACATTTTACAATTCATCCCTACGACATTCTGTGTGTTACGTCGGGCGACTCTCTATCTGGACCAGGTCATACACCGCGGGCCAGACGGACACCAGATGTCCGTTCATCCTTGCTACGTACCCTCAGTAGTCCCAAGGACCCATCATAAATGCCAGTAATTTGCTAGCTAAGGTCCTTCAGACCCAACAAATATCTTTTTTCTAAATCACTTTCTAAAGACTATTTACTACGGCTTGACACGGGGAAGTTAGTTTTTCTCACGTACGATGCTTCCTACTAGCAACTTTCTATCGAGGGCGGCTAAGCCCTTCCTAGTCCACCAACCTCCGTTTATCCAATCAGGAGCAATGTATACTGCTCTGACTTTCCTGACCAAGAATGTCATGAACAAATCCGATGGTCCCGTGCGCTAGACACACCCATCACTAGCTTTCCTACGACACAGCATCGTCAATGTACCTTACTTCTCCTACGACATCAGGAGGGTCAAGTCAACTACTAAGTCTAAATCTAACGCCTGGTCAAGTCAACTACTTCTCCTACACCGCTAGAAAAGTCAACACTTTAAGTTTAAGCACAACGCTAGAGGAGCGTAATTCACGTAAACTATCTAAGTCGATTCTCGGTATTGTCGAACATCCATCTCCTCTACTAAGTATACTATAGTGTTACGTCCACTAATACACTAAATTCAATTATAAGAGTCCTGCTCTAGCGTGCATATCTATCTTATCTTCGTGCGATAAGTTGTTATCTATTTATATCTACTCAACAGTGTAATCTAAGTGCTGGAAATACATAACTTATAATTCTGCGAATCACAGTGTTATACAAACTGAATCACCCCTATTGTCTCAACGGAAATCAGGGTATCGATCAATTCGTGGTGTCGATTGCTATAATCGTAACGGGAATTTACGACTCCCATTGACGTCTCTCCTCGCGATTGCGTCTCCCTGCGATTGGTCGAAACTACACTATCTTTCTTAACAGAGATCGAATTGAGATACTTTCTTACGATTAAGTCGAAGCTTCTGTGCTATTCGATCCTACACGACAACACAATAGTCGCTGTACGGTAAATTTTTGTACATTTTGTTCAGAAATAGCAATGTCTCGGGTGAAAGATCGCCGTTCGAAGGTTCCTGCTGCAGCGGACAAGGCGTGGGAGCGGATAGCACGGAAAGCGAAGAAATGGAGGAGATCTCGAAATATCGAGTGGTCCTGCTCGGTGATTCCGGAGTTGGAAAAACTGCGTTGGTTTCGCAGTTCATGACCAGCGAGTACATAAACACGTACGATGCTAGCCTGGGTAAGTCAAATCCTTTATTCTCTGTCGATCGATATAAAAAATTTAGTAGCTATTGTTTGTTATTTTCTGCCTGTTCTTTTACACCTTTCTCTGTATTTGTAGTCACTGTCGGTAATTAAATTTCACCTATACATCGCGTGTAACGTCGAAGTAAATAATAGAGCGAAGCGAAAAGAGGATTACTTCGCCGTGTTCTCTCCGAGCCCTATTTTCCTTTCGTCCTCTATGTTTTTTGTTCTCTTTTTTCTAATAAAGAAAACCACATTTTGAGCGTTGTTTAAAGCACGATAACGAGATTCTGCTGAAACGAGTCACGAGCTGTGTATTCTTTTCTTCCCGTTGCTACAGCATAACCCAGCGGTTCGATAATTTCGCTATCGCGCTTTTTTTATATTCTTTTGCGATGTCTCTTTGTGTTTGTATGCATCGTATCACCATTGTGCCCGATAACCCCGGAACTGTGACAAGCTGGTTAGAGCTTGGCGTTCCAGTAGAAGAGTTTAATACCGAAACGCAAGGAAACACATCTGAAATAAAAGAACTGAACAAAGTTTGCCGCAATTACTTCTTTTGATTTTCCCGATACAACGAAGGCTTCGAACGATACGTCTCCTTGTGTTTGGTTATTAAATATTCCATAGTTTTTATGGTTCGAGATCTACTTTTCCACCGAGGATAAGGAAAGAAAGGTATTCGAGCAGGCAAAAGGTTGGTTCTTCGAAACATATCTTATTCAAATTCAGGCAAATTTACGCTCTACCGGTGTACCGAAGGGATGTTTTTACGTACGAATAAATATTTTAGCCAATGCTCGAACTTTTCTCTTATTCCTTTCTAACGAATGCAGGTACTGTATTCCACTGGTAGCAAGCTAGTTCAGAAATAGCGAAAGAAATTCTGGCTCGCTGGAACTTGGTTAAACGAGTTGGCGGTTATACGGGGAGGAACGTTAATTATAAATGCACGCATGAGATCATGGCAGTGGTTGTGGATATAACGAGTGTTCCGTTTCTTGCCAACTTTTTCGTATGTCTAATTATCCGACCATTTTTAATGAAGAATTTTGGAATTAAATTTCACCGTGCCTCCTTGTCAATTATTTTACAAATTTTAATCTTCGCGTTTAACACGTTCACTGTTTTCATACCCGCGAGTTGCTTTGAATCTTTTTTTTCTTCTTTATTAAATGTTATAGTAAAGCTGTTTGCGTGGGAAAAACGAGCGAAGGAAGACTTTCTTCGGAGACAGTCTAATGATGATTAATAACGGAGTTCGTTAGGCGCTCTACGTTATCGCCAGACAAATGGTCAACCGTTTATCAAAGAATTTTCACGATTTTTTAATCGACGTATTCGCCGTTAAATCAAGTGATCTTCCTTCGTAGAAAATAGATTGTCGATTCGATTTGTACGTTTCCATGTAACGATATTCGAATGTCGGTCCTCGTCCATTTGGTAATTCAGAGAAAAATCTCGTTGACGATTTTCCAAATGGCCTGACCTCGGTTTCCGTTCCACACGAATACGATCCTCGCCGCGTGCGATAATGGCGGTTTCGTGTAACTCTAGCAATGCGGATCGTTAATGTGGCCTTTCGCCATGGTTGTATAGTATTGTACACCTACCTGTCGAAGCAGCCTTCGGCCTATTACAGGACAATTGCTGTTCACTACGCTGTACACATGGTCATACGATACTCCCACCTAATTTTCCTTCCGTTACATCCTTCGCGTGTTTCTGTTTCGAATAATCAGTCATTTAGCGTCTCCAAGATGATGCTTTCTAATTTATACTCGCGCCAACGGAACGACATTCTTTCTTGATTCGAGGAAAAATATTGTAAGTTCGTTGTTTCCGAGATACTATTCGCTAGTTAAATAAATTAGGTTGGGAGGAATATATTACAACGTGTCTGAAATGTAGAACTTGGATTCTAAACGTGCTTAAACGTGTTAAATCACATAATGTTGGTATATTACGAACACTCAGAGATTAGAGACCTTAAGATTTTTATCATAAACATATGTATAACACGGTTTGGCCATTTTCGCTTCTCCTTTTATTCGTTTCACATTTGGCGAACCGTGCAGAGATCCAGTTGTTTTCGTCGCTGCTAGAAACTGGTCTTTCGATAAAAAAAGACTGTCAAAAGACCGTTGTTTTCCGTTTCACCGACTAGTTTTATTGGTTTCAGGCTTCGCGAACAAAATTTAATTTATCACCAATTCTTTCAATCGTCCTATTTCGTATTGATGTGTTATGAAGAAAGTTATGATGTTCGACAGATGACGAGTTCGGGGAAAAGACAGTGTCAATTTTGCTGGATGGCGAGGAGTCGGAAATGGTATTTATCGATCATCCACACGTGGAGATGAGCGTAAGTACCATTCTCGTTTCAAAGACTTTGCGCCTACGCCCGAGTACGCGAGTTTGCCTAAATTCTATAAACACGAAACCCAATTAACCGTGAAACGTTGTTGAATAAAAGTAAAAACTTGGATGGATAGACATGGCGGATAAACGTCAAGTTAATAGCTAAGTAACGGGACCTGGCTCGAGAAAGGCGAATCAAAGAAGAAAATTAACTCCAAATAAACAACGATATTTTAATTAATTCCGAAGATTAATTACTCGGAAGAGCTGACTTACCGATATTCTCTTTTAATATTTGCGGCAGAACTACGGTTGGCGTTTCTCGAACGCCAGAAAGAAGAACAAATTTAAATCTTTACATCTTGATTTAGGATCGAACAACGAATAAAAGATATTTTAAACGAGTTTATCAAGACGAACGAAGGTTCTTAGTAGTATCTAATGCAATTACTTTTACGAATCTCGTGTAGGTAGAGAATTCTTTGTCCACCTATGAACCGCATGCGTGCATCGTGGTTTACTCCACCGTGTCCCGTACGAGCTTCCAGGTTGCGGAGGAGACCCTAAACTACTTATGGAGGGAGCACTACACGCAGGAACGATCAGTGATTGTAGTCGGTAACAAGTCTGATCTTGCGAGAAGTCGGACGATCACGGCAAACGGTGAGTTTTAGCTTTCAGACAAAATGCATTTTCAATAGGAAAATCGTTGAGAGAGATCTCGAATGTCTAGCTCGAATAACTGAATAAAAGTACTGTAGGTAACTGAAATAATTGAAAAGTACGTATCTATTGATCAAATTAAGGATCACGGGGCTGGCAGATACCATTTTTATATCAAATTCGCAGAAAAAGGCCTGTTAATTATTCGCGTAGATTTATTACCAGAACTTTCATTCCCTGAATCATTGCATGGTATATTTTCATCCTATTATTTTCAAACACGTGAATCGTCCCACACGTGGATAGCCGTACATACATATATGTACTTCAAACAATGCAACGATCAGTCGGACATAGATGCATCGATTCTTTCTCCCTTTGGTCGCGAAACGAAAGATTTCGTAGAAATCTGTCAGAGTTTTAAGGTGCATTCAAGTAACTCAAACGCGGTACTCGATTCAGAAGCATTTGTGCAAAGATCCCGAGCTGCGAATTTGATAAAGCTTCTCGAAAAGGAAGCGAGCGAATGACAGAGAGAATGTGAGAGAAAAGAGAGAGAGAGAGAGAGAGAGAGAGAGAGAGAGAGAGAGCGTTCTGGTGATCGAATAGTTGGTGTTCTTTCAAAGAGGGTAAGCAGCTAGCAACGTCGAGGGAGTGTAAGTTCATCGAGACATCCAGCGGTATCCAGCACAATGTAGACGAGCTTCTGGTAGGCGTGCTCAAGCAGATTCGACTTCGTGAGAGCCGTGACAAGAAGCTGAAACGCCAGAGTAGCAAGAGGAAGATTCTGTCCAAGCTTCACGGTAGCAAGACTGCGCTCAGCCTAAATCTCGCCAGGGAGATATTGAACAAGATGTGCTTGAACGACAACAAGAGTAAGAGCTGCGAGAACCTGCACGTGCTGTAAGAGGATATCGCGATCATTGACCGACGACGTTCGATATTTCGCTCTGTTCCCGATGAATCGCATGAGTGAGAATGTAAAACTTCGTTGTAAACTTCACGAAGCTCAAACGTTTCCGTCGAGTAAAGGTTGCGGTTTGCTGGTATGTAATGTACATTTCGAGAAAAAAAAAGCGGCGAAATATTGTTTCAAAGAGCGCGTACGTTAATGGAAAAGTTGTTCCAGCGTGATTGTGGTTTTTGGTTAAGAGGATTCCGTTAAAATCATATAAGCAAATGGGTTTTAGCGAGTTTACATTAGCAGGACGAATAAAACGGAGGATGGCGGAATGGTGCAGCGAAACGAGACGTTTCTCGCGTGTATCGATTTTTCGTCGTGTTTTTAGTCTCATAACGAATTCAGGCCTACGCATATCGCGTCCTAGAAAGCCAATAGATGGATAGAAAGCGCAAACAAGGAAACTTTCACCCTTCCTCAATCGTGCTCTCGAATAATATTTGCTCTATCCTTCTCTCGCCCGTCGGTGGTGACCGAAGTGTCGTTTACAATTGAAGAAAACTGGTTGTGGACCAAGCAACGAGTTTTGTACTCGAAACGAGTTTCAAACAGTACGCGAGTCAATTTGACGAGCTGTCAATTTCTCTTAATTTGCGATACGAAACGCTCATTCTTTAATTACATGTTCGACGTAAGATCTCGAAATCGAAACCGAAGGATGGAGGATCGCAAAATTTATCACGAGACAAATGACAGCGCGGGTAAATTTGGCGGCTGCATGGTACGCGGCTCGATTATTTATTAGGATCTAATGGATAACACGTGTCCCTCGGCTCTAGTGTTGCAACTGGCTGTGTTCTACACCGGTGCTCGTTTATATATTGGGTGATTCCTTCCAAAACAATCGATACGCTCGCCCCTAAAGTTGGAGGAAAAGTACCGAGCCATAAAAACGACAGTTTTATGGCTGAAGGTGTTAAAAGAACTCCAAGGTTTATTACGCTTCCTCTATGTCATTGAGAAGTATCGATCGCGATTATTCCTATGGTTTCTAGTTATTCCGCCGTACTCTTGTTAATTATTCGATCAAACATTGTCACACGATTTCTATATATAAGTCGAAATTTCCTAGGGAACCATGTCGAACGTTTTACATAAATTACTCTGCATTCGATTGTTTGGTGGTAAAACGCTATCGCACTGTTTCTCTCGCGTGTAACGCATACACACGCGTACAGAAACGAAGAAAGAGAGAGAGAGAGAGAGTTTTCCGATAATTGCGGCTACGCGATATATCAGCTTCAATTAAACAACTTCCATTAATTGAGATAAAAAACGGCTGATCGTCGTTTACTTTCGGAACGAATTGTGTCAATGCGAAAGTTAGTCGTCGAATCGGCTCCAATCGTTCCTCGTCCGATTCGATTTTCAGAGAGGATACGTTTGCCAAGCGAGCAAAGACGTTGTCGACGGCGTGTCATTAATTTATTAAATTAACTGGGCCAACGGAAGGTGTAAACGACGTTGCTTTTCGTCGTTGACGATCATTTCGTTTCTGATAAACGTGGAATTTCATTTTGAGGATCGCGTCAGCCGATCAAAGCTCTCGGTTCGTTTCGTTGGACGCTGGTTTCGTCCAATTCGTGCGACGCTGGACGTCTCAACGCTTCTTATTATACGATATCGTGTAGAAATATAATGTAACGTTAATAGTTTAGCGATTATATATGGAATAAGATATTCCAGGAAAACTCTAGATTACTTTGAAGATCTTAATTCGAGAATTCTATTTCTGAATTCATACCATTAATATAATAGGCAACTCTGACTAAAAAGAAAATTTACTAGAAAAATCTTTCTGAATAATTTTTAATTTGTCTTCCAAAGATAGGAAAGGCGCGCATACGATTTTCGTTTTGTTCGTTTCCCGCGAAACGGAGCTTCGGCCGCGAAAGCTGGTATCGCGTATTTCAGGGAAGTATTTATAGGATTGTCGAAATGAAAAAAAAAAGAAAATAAAAAAAAAAAAAAGATTCAATCTAGTAGGGACGGCCTAAAAACGTACAAGACGGATGGAGAACGGTCTCCCCGTCGATATATTTGCATGTAGATTTATCATATTATTAATGTTGTTTTCGGAAAGGCCAGCTGATCACCGGTAACGATCGATCGTTACAGTGATTTCAGGATATTATGAATATCTGTAAATTGAAATAAGCGCTTCACATATCGAGCAGCGACTTCTATATGGTAGAGAACAATCGATTATACGTATTTTAATCGTAAACATTCACGTGTCCTGATTATCACAGTCTGACCTCTGTCTTAGATCATTGTCAATTCGTAAAGAGTTCGTTATATTTTCTCAAGCATCGTTCGTGAACGACAACAAAATCCGTTACAAATGTTGTTAATCGTCCTATAAAGTCGTGGATAACTCAGAGCTACGGATACCCCGAAAGGCTGGTCTATTTTTATATACACAAGCTCGTCAATACGTTTTATTACGATCTGTCATCCACACGATCGACGTTTTTCTACTCTGTAAGAATGACTCTACATACACGAAAAACTCGTGCAGGGAGCGAACGTATCACTTTTTTCTTCCGTCTTTTTTCAGAAAATAGGCGTTAAATCCTTGGATGGCGCGGACAAAAGATTTAAGATTCCTATAGTTTACAGGATTTATTGTACATCTCGCGAAGAATCCCTGCACGTTTACACGACAATCATATTTTGTTATTTATCGTGTTGTATTCTATATCTGTGGTAGGATTTAGGCCTTAGATGTTTATGTCGAAATAAAAGCAATATACATAACCAGACTATATTTTTTAAATCTATCATTTAGGTTATTTAATTATCTTTTACGAAAAAGAAAGAAAATAATTTCAGAAAATAATAGTCCCTAAGAAAAGCCTTTTTTCCTAACAAGAGTTGCTTTTTTTTTACGATAAAGTTCAAAGAGTTCACATGTATCACGGGAGATCAAATTCCAGCCACATACACGTATTTGCATCCTATATTTTACCGGATGTGTCGATGACGCCATCTAACGTCAAGAGAGATAATCTAGTAGAGCCACCTCCAGTTCTCAATGGAACGGCGGACTGTGTTGTATCTTAGCAATATGGCTACGTGTCGAGTGTTCTTGTAGCGTGTTTGGGGCACGATCGTACTAAGTATTACCCGCGGGTTTAACAATCGTTCAATAAGACGGCATCGATCGACTTACTGATCATGAACGTGTCAACGACTAGCAAATGGGATTTGTCCCGGGAGGACATCAAAAGTGCAGCAAAGGATGAAAAGGTGAGTAGTCTGAGACAAGTTGGTTACTGTGGCTTCGTAGTACCGTAGGATAGAGGTCTATTGGCGGGAAATTTAAATTTGGATAATTTCAGGAGTTGCTATTGGAGCACGACAGCGATCCGGATGAAAATATGCTGTTCAAGTAAGTTTAATGTATCGAATGATTCTTTTCCCGTTTGGAATAATTGTTTTCGTATGTTCTAATGGATAATATTCGTATTTTAGTCAACCAAGTACGTCCGCAGAAACTAAAGTGGATGGGAAGATGGATAAGTAAGAATATCTTTCATTTTTGTAAATAAAATCCGATTTTCTTTTCTACTACACTTCAACTTAATCTCGGGCGATAGATAATCGTTTCAGAAATAAGAAACGATAGTTACAAAATCGTAGTTTAAGAATCGTATCGGTGATACTCGTTTATTTGGCTTCTAGTGTTAGGCTGCAAATTCAGGAAGTCACGGAGGTGATGCGGGAGAACGTTCAGAAGGTAATGGAGCGTGGAGAGAGGCTGGAGGATCTACAAGAAGTTAGCGATCGACTGAGTATGGTAGGAAACGAATTTAGAGCGGCAGCGAAGAAAGCTCAACAGAGGGCGTGGTTGCAGAACTTTAAAACAAGGATCGTTCTCGTCACTATCACGGTGACCGTCGTCGTCTGTATCATTGGTATGATGCACATTATCATTAGAAGATGCATGTTAAGCGCATGTTTTTGTTTATTGCATTTGAAATAGAAATGCTCAATCATATATTTTGTAAGACCATACGAACATTTTAATTCAAAGAGAGAAATAAATCAAAAGTGCAGTAAGATATTTTTGGTCTTGAAAAAATTAAATTTGTAAGTATTTGTAAATATAAATTTGTAAGTGCTAAAAGTTGATATCTTATACTTGGCGTGATGTTAATTATCGTCTAAGAGCAATTTACTTTTTATCAATGTATAATTATGATCTTTCAACTCTGATTGCGCATTTCTAGTTTACTCATCGAACATCTGTGTTTATCTGTCGTGAACATAATGCACCGCAGTATCATAGTTCATGCTGTTAGATTATGTTCTTCATCGCCTATCGCATAAAAAAGTGTCCCTCTAAACACAGTTCACGTAGTCAGATCGACGCGTATCGTTTTCAGTTCTGGACATCATGGTGCTTTACCTGGTTCTCAGATAGCGAACACGGTGTAGCGAGCCCCGATCGTTCGATTCCAGGTATTCATCACTGTTTTCCACTTCTAATCTGTTTACACGCTTTCACTTTGACCTTTTTTTTCACCTTTCTTAACAGTTAGGTAGGTCGTTTATCAAAGTCGTTGAGAAATTTGTCGCATTATAATTAAACATAACAAGTTAAATGAGTTTTCTCTTGCATTCTTGGCACTATTCATCGCTCGTTCGATTGTGCACGCGTTTCATATCGCTTTGATGGTTGTTGAACAGTCGAACGTGTACGCATTATTGGCGTTTTATTTTTCAGTATCCATCGTCGTGAAATATTCGTAACCGAGGCACCTTCCGGATTGAAACACACTTTGCGAGCGTACGTTTATATTTGTACCTGTCTTTCATGGATGATCTACGTGTATTATTATCATAAGTTTATATAAATACATATATTGTTATTTTTAATCGATTCTCACGTCTTCGGAACCTTCGACTGTTCTACGTGTTCGCGTTCACGTTAGCAGAAATCATTTCGAAATTCGAACTATTTTGCTAGAAATTTGATTTCCATATAATATAACGCGTGTGTAGCCACAAAATACCAGTTCAAAACTGTGTATTTTGGCCTTATTAGTCCGTTAGAAAATATAATATCGTCGTTATTATAATCAAATTCACTCTCGTTACTTCTTGCCCTGTTCTTCTCACTCGTAAATTAATTCTGTGAGTCATAATTCTTAATAAGTATGCGTTACCTTTTTCTAACATACTAGAAAGGAATCACGATCAATTAGAATTATAATAAGAAGGAAGCTTGTTCGCGCGTTATCGCAAAACTTTCTTGCACAAGCGAACGCAGCTACGGCGTACGATCTCCCCTCTACGTTATACGTCACTGACTATCAATGACGAATACTCGCACATTTCGCGAGACGAGGCGAGTAAGTACGAGTGTACACATGTTGATGAACACAGTCGCATCGTGTGCACTGTACACCGTCGTCGAGCGGACGTTTAGTCGTGTTTTGGTCGCGGCATCGATCTCCTGTTCGCGTCGAGCGTACTCGTCATCGAACGTAAACCCAATCTACGGCAAATTCCTTCCTTTCTTTCTTCTTTTTCTCCTTTTTCCCTTTCTCCTTCCTCTTTAAAGTTCACGCGATTGAGGACGATCCATTGCGACCGAACGTGCGCCGACAGATCCAGAGACATGGGAGTGCACGAGTTGGTGATCGCGGTTTTGTCCATATTTATCGGCGCTTATTTGTTCACGGGAAAACGACGACGCTTCATTTACTTGCTCTACAAAACCTTGCCTAGAGACGTGCTGTGAGTATTTGAAAAAGCTGAATTCAAGCTTCGTAAGTTTAAATGAGGATGGAAACGCGCAACAGTTACCATCGTGGCAACCTGTATTGTGTTTCTGTCGAAATATTTTTCGATGACATAATTATTTTCTCTTTCCGTCGGTTCAATGTTTACGCGTCGATTCTTTAAACAAACTGGCTAATTGCGTCACGCTAATTTGAACAGCAATATTATTAACAGAAGCACGGTCGATGTTCCATTCGATAAACGGCCTTCGAACGATATGTTTGACGTTTAGTGATATTGCGACAAGACCACGTGCTCGTGTTTATAATCGAGATTCGCGTAATTGCAGGAAAAAGAAGCGCGACACGACTGTTGAAATAAATAACCGTGCACGATCCATTCGTGCGAATTCCTTAACAAAAGTGTGTTCTTAATCGTTTCTACCTACGCTTTTATAAATGCTTCTTCCTACGTAAACATCTTCGATAAAGACACGCGCGTTTCATATACTTAGTATAGTGCGGATTCTTAGATAAATACCTTTAATCCTCGTGATTCATTTCAAACGACATCTGAATAGGTCACCAGGCTCGGAACTATGTATATGCATCAGGCTGTAATATACGCCAGGTTCTTTCTCCTAACTCATCTTTTACAATTAGATCACTTAAGAAATTTTACGATACTATTGAACGCGATCAAAGGTCCTGTATCCGAGCGAGATCACGCGTCCGGGCGTGGATTCTCTTGAATATAGGACCTTTGATCGCGTTCAATAGTATCTCACCCGGACGATAATCGCGTTCGTTGTACGAGCGATATTCTGAGTTTCGAGGAACACGAGGAACTAAAATAAGTATATAGAAGTTTAAAATTTTGACGGAAGAACGAAGCTCTTCTTCCATGGATACGTTTCGTTCGAGACGCACGACAAAGAAATCGTACAAGACCCGGCCATTCGGCATTGATTTCCATCATGAGAATCGTTGATCACGAACCATCCTTGATTCACGAGCACTATCGCGAGAGTATTCTTCGTGCATGCGCGTAGTTGGCCACACGTTCATCTGCGGATGCATCCCGCGTATTGTGCTGCCGTGAACGACCATTGTAGGGCCAATATGGAGCGCATGGAATTTAAACAGCCGGCTGAATAACATTGTTTTGAAGCCGCGATTACGCTCGATGGTCCATCGTGTAAACGCCTCGAGTTTCGAGACTCGAGGGCATCTGGTTTCGACTGGATCGATCTTATTTTCTTTCTTCTTCGTTTCTGTACTTTGGTGTGCACTTATTTTACGAGGATGTAAACAACCAAAGTTTCAAAACAATGTGGTCATTTTTTTTTTATTAAGAAAGGAAAGGAGGAAGGATTCTGTTACGATTGCAGAAAGTAAATCTAAAATTAGAAAACCATTCAAATGCGTGTTCTATTTATATTTTGCTTTAAGATTGTGTAAGTATCCGAAATTTTTATAAGGTGTAATTTAATTTATCGATAGACGGATACATGATTTTCTATAGTGAAGTGTATGCTCGATCGATACACTGATTATACAACGTGCTCAAATGGCACGAGGTCAGCGTTTATTCGTAATTATAGTATTAGTTACATATTAATTGATAGAATTCTACATCAAAAGTACTTTCGATGAATACATATAGTATACACTTCAATAATAAAAGAGGAACTTTGTCTACTTTCGTCAAGGAAGAAAGAAAAATAACAATCCAGCGGCTGACAACTTGTAGTATGTAATCGAGTGTAGTATGTCATCAACTCGATGTTCACAAAAAGTCCCAATGAAAGAGTAACCTTTCGTATCTCTCTACGCATTTATAAATTCTTGAAATAAAAATTACTTCAATTCCTTTTACTATCCTTCTACACTAATATCGCCAAAGTTCATCATAATAACTCGATGGCTGAAATCTACTTGTTGTGATAAAACTGACAGATGACTTGCAAATCTATTCACGCTGTTTCGTTTCTTTTCACCTTTCTTTGTGGCTAATATTAAAATGAAGCATG